AAGAAACCAAGCTAAATTAAGAAAACATAGTAAGCTTACAACACGATTCGAACCCAAAAAATAGGTAAACATAGTTTATTACATATAAAATAGGTAAAAGACATAAAAACAAAAATATACTAATTTGCACGTACAAGTAACTTTTAAATGATAATTTACAAATAATAAGTAATATAGCATAAATTGTAACTCCGAAAAATAATAAGTTTTAAACGAAATATGAGCTAACAATTTTAATATATTACTTTAAATAGAACTAGTTTAAGCTAAAAAGATAAAAGAAACCAAGCTAAATTAAGAAAACATAGTAAGCTTACAACACAATTCGAACCCATGCACACGATGGGAAAATGATCCCGCTTGACCACTGAGATGCCCTTCACAATTATGTTAGGTGGGTACATTTATGTTAAATATACGTTTTTCAAGTATAATTTACACATGTAAATAACATAATTTTTTTGACGAAGCGGATTAAATTAAACTCGCTTGCTCCCACATGGGTTCGCCCTTGAGCTCACTAAATGCGCATTAACAGTTCGACATAACTACTCAAACTTTCAGCTCAGGAAAAAAAAACATCAAGCACTAAATGAGCATGCAATCAGCATGCTAAATGCAACTATAATTAGAAAATAATATAAGACCCCTCCAAAATTGATTTGTTTGCGTTGTGAAGCGGGTCTCAAAATTGAGCCGATGCCTCAATTTTATGCTACATTTGCGCCGACATATTGGTTTTATATTATATATAGATATAGATGTGATAAACAATAAAAGAATTTGAAATAATCCTTATTCATTTTACAAAAAGTTAAACGGAGTTACCATTCTCTTTTCCAGATAAGTTAACGATGACGTGCACTTACAGTTACACATTCTTTGCTAAGATTTTACTTATCTTTTGGTCAAATATTAAATTGAAGTGTTAAGAATGTTGATGCAATTGTGAATTAGAGTTATAAACATTAAATTGCAATTTAATCTTGCACCTCATTTTTTAATTGGAATCACAACATTCAGCCATTAGAACTATATGAATTACTGTTATAAAGTAATAGAAGAAGAAAGAGTATTGAAGAGAAAAGTACGGAGAGATAATTCTTATTGATTTGAGATCAATTACAATAGAATAGAACCCCTCTATTTAGAGGAGAAAAATGACTTAGCCACCAAGTAACAAACCCTAAAATCTCTCTAGAATATAGACATTCACCTTAAATACAATTCTATTTACAACACTCCCCCTTGAATGTCTATTCAACAAATAATGTGTCTCGGTAAAGTTTTAACTAAATAAAACCTAGTGGGAAAACAATTCTAGAGAAGGAAAAAGAGTACGCATATCTAACAATACGCCTTTTGGTTGCGTCTTTAAAAACCTTATAAAGAAAACTCAGTGGAACAAAACCTTATAAGGGAAAAAGAGTACAATGCATATTAACTCCCCCTGAGGAGATCATCAATTCACATCCTTGAGCCTTCACATTTCAATCTTGTGCACCATCTTTAAAGGATCGTTGGTAAAGATTTGATAAATAAATCAACCATATTAACTTGAATGAATATGTTGCACCTTGAAATCATTCCCTATAGAGATGACTTGTCTTCATATGATCTTGTTGGAATCATCATTTCAATATCATCACATAGGGAAAAAAACTCATGCTATCATATTATCATGCGTATAATTATAGCAGGATACATTTGTGCACAAATTGTACTGAGGAAGTGGTACTTCAAGATCAAGAATTTTATATGCTTCAAGCAACTTAAATCCTTCATGGATTGTCATATAAGTTAAGTCGTATAAGACATATAATAGACTTTAGATACATATAAAGTTGTCATGTCATGCTAGACATATAAGATATCGAAAACTTATTGCACATACCATTGACTTTATACTTTCAAGTGTTTGAACTGCAGGTCCAAATACTTGTCTTTCATATGAAACCAATTCTATTCGAATTGCGTTTCTTCTATTTGGCCAATATTTTTGTGTCTGTATGCGACAAACTTAAGATCCTCATCTATACCTAGCGCTATCATAGATGTTGTCGACGAACATTTTATATCGGTTCCAACATTTTTTCATAAAGACATAACATAAAGATCTCTTCATTCATATTTTCAGGTACTTGAATCTCTCATGAGATTTTATGAAGTGTTATGTCATACGATCTTCTAGATCACTTGCCTCCTTTATTATGATCATTTTGATCATTTGCTCATCTTCTTTATCAAGAAGTTCATTTGAAACCAATTTGTCTATACGCTTTAAATGTACCATAGACTTTGTCCTTCTAGGACTTATTCTAATAGGAACATTTGCAGTGAGAATTTAGTTACTTTCTTTGGGTCAACAAATGCGTTTGACATGCTTTGCAATATATTGCAGATGAATTATTCTTTTATGAACTTCAAGTTCATATTATTTTATTCGAGGATCTATATATACACATGATAATTCATTCCACGTAACGTTTTCTCAACTGTTTATCATGTCTCCCCCTCATGTTAGAAAAACTAATTTGTTTCCTCAACTTTGAGAATCCATCTTTGTGCGTTATGGTGCTAATAAAAATATACACCGCACATCAATAATAATAATAATAAGATGAGATTATTTGGTTCTTGACCCTGAACCACTTATGAGGGGAGAATGTAATATACTTTCGTATATAACGTATATCTAACTAATATAGATAAATTTGTTCTCATAAGCAATAATTTAGCTATTAAGTAGAGGCACTCAATAAATCATTTTGCTAAACTAGTTGTGATGTAAACCAACTTATCAAGATAAACTATCTTGAATAGAAAATCTGGAAATTATGCTCTAAATTAAATTATTGAGCAAGTTACCTCGCAAATACAAGATTGCAGGTTAATAATAGTTGCACGTATAACCATCTCATAGATGCATCTTATGTAGTATACATGGCAGATGAATGAGACCATATTCACCTTTGAAATTTCCAGGATTCATGGGATTCAATCCCAATTTTAGTTGGTCTATTAGTTAATAGAACAAGTAATATAAGAGAATTCCTAAAGAACTTTCTAGTTCTTTAATATTTACCCATGTGAATTCTCTATTATTTTTGCACATCATACTTAAATTAACATGGCTAAACCAATTAAGTCAACTGAATAAACTATCAATATTGATAAAGTTCAGGTTTACACCATGACACGTGCAATTATCAATAAACTCCAAGTTTATTATGATATGAGTTTTATAACAATAAACATCCACTTTATTGTAGTATTCTTTTATTTGTGTAGTACAAACTGGAGAATAATGCGGATAATTTTTCACATAATATTACCCCGCTACAAGTTGTAGTAATAGAAGATATTAAATCTTTCCTTTATTTATAGTCTCAACTCTAGAAACTCAATAAGTTTCTTTGAGACTTACTACAACATAATATCTTATTGATAATCAATTTTATTTCTCCAAAATAGTGATAATTGGCTCTTCTAGGGCTCTCAATTAATTTTGTAGTACCACATATTCATCAACATCCATATGGTCATATATCTCTTTCAAGGAGAAAGTTATACCATTATGGTCATGGTCAAAATTATATACAAGATATGTTTCTTGCATTATTATTGTCTTTTAATAATTACATTGCCAAAATATTTTGGCGTACAATAGGTACGTGACCAATGATCATTCATGTCATAATAATGACATTATTTTCTATAATCTCAAACCTCCTTCGAGAGGTGAGTGCGGTATATTCACTACCACTAGCACATTCATATTCTTTGAAGAATGAATATGTATCCATAAATCACATGTTGTCACATTCAATCGTCTATATGTGCTTTACAAAATCTCATGTCAAATCGATGACAAACATTATTTTCATAGAGTGAAAGACTATTTTGAGAATCCTTATTATTCTCATTACCCCGATGATGACAATTATAATTTCGTCTATTGCCACGTCCACATTCATTGATACCTTCACGGTAATAATTTTGTCTTCTTTTAGATTTATTACATATTGCTACCATATTCTCTTAAGGGAATGAAAATGAAACAAATTCAATGGGACGGGTTTTCACTTCTTTGCCCACAATCATACATGAATTTGATCATGGCAAAGCATAAAAATTTTACTACTTCGGGTGGTTATAATTTTTCACAAACTCTATTAGAGTTATAATCAAAGTTTATCATCTTTGCTTGTATTTAAAATCAAATTATAGAATGTCAATAATTTAAAAAAGAAAAATAAAGTAAAATACTTACCTTAAATCTAGAATTTAATCATGAAGGAAGTTCATGGAATAATTAACAATTATTATGCTCAATCCCAAAGCTTCTACTCAATTGGTAGAGTCTCGTGTTGATAACATATTATTATAAAATAATAAAAGAAGAAGAAGAGTATCGCAGAAAAAAGTACGGAGAGAGAATTCTTATTGATTTGGGATCAATTGCAATAGAATAGAACCCCTCTATTTATAGGGGAAAAATGACTTAGCCATCAAGCAACAAACCCTAGAATCTATCTAGAATATAGACATTCACCTTAAATACAATTATATTTATAACAATTACTTTATTATTTCCTTTTTTATTCCCCTTTGATCCCCTTTGCTCCTTTGGTGACTCGAACCCACAATCTGAGCAACCCATTTTGCCTACTTTATTAGTTAAAATGTAGAAATCGGACGTAAAATCCTACTCTTAGTTCAAAAAAAAATTCCTTTATATTTGAAAGGATCAAATTTTAAATAAAGAAAGAGGGGAATCTTGTCACAAAATTGACGTGAAGAACTAAGATGAAGTAATAGGTCTAATGATTAGTTACAAGGTTTAAAATCTTTTTAATGGCCTCATTTTCAATATGCAAAGTTGGTGAAATATTGACTTTGCTGGTGTGTGCCAATTAAGTAATTTAATTACCGAAATAGCCTTCACCTAACAACAAAATCCTCCAACAACCATAAGCCTCCTTATAAGGCATCTCTCTATTCCTCAGGTAGTACCACATTTGAGGCTTCACATCTTTTCCTTACAATACACAGAAAGAATCCAATGGCTCTTTCAACTAGCAGCGCCAACTCCCTCCTACCTAATATAGCCTTAATTCAAACTCAACCTCTTTTACCTTCTCCCAAACATGCCCTTCCCACCAACTCAACCAAACCCGTTAGACCGATCTCAGCCGTCTATTCTCCCGACTCCTCCAAGACCCCTAAACCTTCGCCGCCGGCAGCCACCTCCTCCACTGCTGCTGCTGTCACGGGGAAAAAAACAGACCAAGTTTCTAAAAAATGGTCAGTTGACAGCTGGAGATCGAAGAAAGCACTTCAGCTTCCAGAGTACCCGAATAAAGATGATCTTGAATCAGTTCTTAAGACCATTGAAGATTTCCCTCCAATTGTGTTTGCTGGTGAGGCGAGGAGTCTTGAAGAGCGACTTGGAGAGGCTGCAATGGGGAAGGCGTTTCTGCTACAAGGTGGTGACTGTGCCGAGAGTTTCAAGGAATTCAATGCTGTTAACATAAGGGACACTTTCAGAATCATCCTTCAAATGGGTGCTGTTCTTATGTTCGGTGGTCAGATGCCCGTTGTCAAGGTCATATTTTTGTTTCTTACTTAATTTTTGAATCTTTTCTTTTGTATTTATATTGCATTTAAAGAACCAGAACTAACTAATATCTTAGTGTAGGAGTAGCTTTCAATAATTTGTTTCTACTTGGTGGTCCCATTTCATGTTACGCTGTTAATGTTTCCAGGTCAAACAGTGTTTTATTAACTAGCATGTTTCATATGTGTTTCTTAATCATAGTCCTTTTTTGTAGTCTTTTTAACTGTTATTATAGCCCTTTTTTGTAATTTTTAGAAAAGTAATGAATAGATGTCTGAATTTAGACAAATATTTTGATTTTGACCTTTTTTGCTGCTAAATTAAATTTTGTTACCTTAATTTTGGAATGCTTTTATTTTATTAAGTTGCCTATAAATAAATGGATATTGAATCTTATTCAATTATAAGGGTATTTAATTGCCTACTGTTTGTTGCAGTACTTATTTTATCGTGAATTCGTTCCTTGAAATGGATATTTATTTTTTAAGTCATGACTCATGAGTATTCTCTTATCTCATGGAAAACATAAAGAGTAGATAAATTCCTTCTTTTGGCATATGCTCTGGTTTCTTTCAACTGTATTGATATCCATTTTCAAATTTGATCTAAATAGGTTGGAAGAATGGCTGGGCAATTTGCAAAGCCAAGATCAGACTCATTTGAAGAGAAAGATGGAGTAAAGCTGCCAAGTTACAGGGGAGATAATGTGAATGGAGATGCATTTGATGAAAAATCCAGAATTCCGGATCCTCAAAGGATGATCAGGGCCTATTGTCAATCTGCAGCTACTTTGAATCTCTTGAGGGCCTTTGCTAAAGGAGGATATGCTGCTATGCAGAGGATCAACCAATGGAACTTAGATTTTACAGAGCACAGCGAGCAGGGTGATCGGTATGTTCCATCTTGTTGCAAATTTTTGTTGCTATTTGTTGTTTGAATCCTCATTTTTAGCTCAACTCATATCTTCCTCATTATCAAAGTAAAATGAAAGTGCAAGAAAAAAAGAAGATAAATACATATATAAATAATAGTAATAATAATAATTTTAATATAAGTTCTCTATCAAGTCTAAAATCTATTCTCAACTAGTACGTATCACTTATATGGATTTTCGCTTCCATTGCGCCCTATTTTTAGGGTCTTCCGTGGTATTCTATCATATACTTTCTCTAGGTTAATGAACATTATGTGTTGATTTTTCTTCGTTTGGCTTTAAATTGTCATCAATCTTCTTAGCAAGAATATAGCCTGCGTTGTGCATTGTAGATCTACCGGGCATAAATCCAAATTGATTCTCTATCACTCTTGTCGTGTTCCTAACTCTATGCTTTATCACTCTTTCCTAGAGTTTTATTGTATGACTCATGAGTTAAATGCCACGACAGTTCGCACAACTTTAAAATCTCCTTTGTTCTTATAAATTGAAATCAAGGTATCCTACCAATTCTTAGTATGGTATTAAATACCTTGGTGAGCCATACTACTCCAACTCCAACCTCCCCAAGACACTTCCAGACCTCTATAGGATACTATCTAGACTGTTCCAAAATTTATTACGAGACAAATTTTTTGTCGGCTTTTATATAATGTTGCACTTATGGGCTAATAATGTTTATTTTCTTTTTTAAATTGGCAGGTATCGTGAATTAGCTCATAGAGTGGATGAGGCCCTTGGTTTCATGGCTGCTGCTGGACTTACAACGGACCATCCTATCATGAAAACCACGGAGTTTTGGACGTCTCACGAGTGCTTACTTTTGCCGTATGAGCAGTCACTTACAAGATTGGATTCAACTTCTGGCCTTTACTATGATTGCTCTGCCCATTTTCTTTGGGCTGGGGAGAGAACCAGACAATTGGATGGTGCCCATGTTGAGTTCTTGAGAGGAATTGCCAACCCCCTTGGTATAAAGGTGAGTGCATTGCTTTACTTTGAGTCTTTTCGTGATTGCATTTATGAATATGGCAATGTGTAGATCATATTGAGTTGGCAATGTGTAGATCTAACAGAAAATATATGCTGCAGGTGAGTGACAAGATGGATCCAAATGAGTTAGTTAAGCTCATTGACATTCTGAACCCTAACAACAAACCAGGAAGGATTACAATAATTACCAGAATGGGAGCAGAGAACATGAGGGTTAAGCTTCCTCATCTAATAAGGGCAGTGAGAAGAGCTGGGCAAATTGTTACATGGGTATCTGATCCTATGCATGGAAATACCATTAAAGCACCTTGTGGTCTGAAAACTCGACCTTTTGATTCCATCAGGGTTAGTTCTCATACCTCCTTCAGAATTTCCTGACTCGTTATATCATACATACCCTTTTGGATGGTGAGACCCTAGGTTATACTGGAAAAACAATTTGAATTCACAAAATTTGTTGCCTTCAAGTAATTGCATACTGAATTTTAAGCGTGTGTTTTTTGGGCGAATCAGTCAAAAGTATGTTTCTTAAGCTGTCATATGGTGGATTTAAATATATCTCGGGTTGGTTGGTGGTTGTCTGTCTCTTTCCACAAGGATTATTTTTGAGATCCAGTCTTTTCGGTAGATTTCCTTCTTTTTCAATGACGCTCGATATTGAAACAGTATAATTGTCTTAAAAATGATTGAAAGTTTACATCAACTTGCATGTCTTAACAGTTAAGAATATATTCTTTCGTCAGAGCTTGTGGATGAAGTTTTAACCCTCACATTACAACATTGACAATAAAGCACACATCTTACATTGCACTCTTCTTGGGAACAGGCTGAAGTGAGAGCATTCTTTGACGTGCATGAGCAAGAAGGAAGCCATCCAGGAGGAGTTCACCTAGAGATGACAGGCCAAAATGTAACAGAGTGCATTGGTGGATCAAGGACCGTGACTTTCGATGATCTGAGCTCACGCTATCACACCCACTGCGATCCTAGACTCAATGCATCTCAATCCCTTGAACTCGCCTTTATTATCGCTGAACGCCTCAGAAAGAGGAGGCTTGGATCTCAAAGCTCATTAAGTTACTAAATATGTAGAAAGCTTACGTTGCTATGTTGACAAAATTTCTTCTTTTACTTAAATTATGAATCGCTGTACTAATATTTTTAGTTTGGAATTATTTCTTTTAAATCTTGAGGATGTGTTACGTTTACCTTGTGTTCATACTGGAAGAGTGAAAATGTATGAGAGCTTGATGTATCAAAACAAAGTGTATTAGAGTTTGATGAGTGATGAGACTAAGCAATAAAGCAAAGAAGTTCCTCTTCTCTTTTAACTAGATGGCCGATGCCCGTGGTATGCACGGGCGTATGCTTGACACGTCGTGACATCTTTGTTTGTATTATTTACACAACTATAAGATTAGCTTTAAGTGTTAACATGGAGAACATAATTTCATACTTGATTTAATTGTCTAGCAGCATTATTGGAAAAGGAAGTAGTAAGACTATCAAGTTGGCTAAATGATAGCAGTGTATTAACGCTACATGATATGTACAATATTTTGAAAACAGAACTGTAGCAAATGGGGCGGTGCGGCGCGGGTTTAAAGCTATGCGGGGCGGGTTGAATAATTTTTTAAAAGGCTGATGTGGTGCGGTGCGGTTGCGGGTTTTCGCGGGTTTGCACAAGTTTACTGAATTTGGCCTATAGTATTATCTAGTAATAAGACATGCAACAAACCTTAAATAGCAGAACGTCTATTTAAATGTTTGATACTTCATAAAACAAGGTAAATCATTTATAACCTCGTCTTTTTTTCAAGTACACCTTTTAATTAGAATGTTAATTAAGTTAGAAATTTTGAATAAAAGAAAAAGTTAGACATTTAAGGGAATATAAAATGTAGTTTAGACAAATATTTTTATGATAAAATAATTAACATTTATCACTAAATCATCTAATGAACGTTCGAAAATTGTTTCCAAATTCCAATACCATAAGCATAACGTTCAGGTTTTTGTCAATTTCCAGCATTCCAATTGAACACAAAAACTTGTTGCGACCAAAAACACTCACGCAAGTGCATGTGATTGTCAAATAATAAAGTAGTGAGTAGAGTATCGTTCCCACGAAGACTTATGATTAACTATTGATTGATCCAAACTCAGTTAACTTATCGATTCAAGAGATTTTTCACAAAATATAGAAGTAACTAATTTACTACCTAAAACTATCAAGCAATGATTTAACTAGAGATCAACCGAACACGTAACAATTTCGAGTAACAATCAGTAGGGGAGAATATTCCAGGGTCACGGGTTAGCTAACAATCATGTTGCGTTCTTGGCTTAAGATAACTAATTGATTTATCTGGATTGTTGATTGACAGGGTTGATATTACTCATAAGAATCTGTCGAGTCCTTACTCGCCTATTCAAGTTAACTTAATGCCTATATGTCTATGGAATTAAGATTAATAAGAATGCATTTATAATTTCTGTATTTCAACTAAGCAAGACAATTAGGTATATGTCTATCCTAATTGCGAGTCCGTTCCCCGAAGCCCAGATTCAAGAACTTACTCTATTTAATTCTATATGCAATTTAGAGTTCCCATTTTCGAGTTCAACTCCAAATTCGTAGATAGTATTTCACTGTTAGCTACTCAGCAAAATAATTAAAAACAGAATTAAATAAACAACCCAATATGAAAAAATCAACTTCATTAAATTAAACCTCAAACAACAAAATTCATGTTTCACCCATGACCCTAGAACAATAGGTTTTTAGCCACTCATAATACTAGCAAGCAATTGCATAAGTTTTGAATAATTGAAAATACTAGAAAAGATGAAGAAATTTGAGATGTTCTTGCTCCCAGATGTTTCTTGTGTGTATTTTTTCTCCAAAGTGGCGTCTCTCGGTCTAAGATGTGTCAAAAATCCTCAAAATAACGTTTTTATATGTATTTATACCACGCAGGGTTGGGTCCAGACGAAAACACCTTCTCCCGCGCGAGTTAGGACAATTACTTTGTAAAATTTGTACAGGCGCGCCGCACCATGCACCGCACCCTGCGGCGCGCTAGTGGAGATTATCAGCAGCCTTGCATTTTTCTTGTCAGGCCAGTTTTTACACTGCTGCGCCGCACCCCGCGGCGTCCCATGCGGCTCGGTAGCTAGAATTTGCAAAAATTCAAAACATGAAAGTTGTAGTCCTTTCAAATAGCTTTCCAACGATATATGGTGGAGCCCAAACGGAGTTCTGAGCGAAAAGTTATGTGCATTTTACTAGACAATGCATCGTATACCCGCTCGATTCTTCGTTTCGTTCTTAACTATCATCCGTTGATCCCCGAACACGATCCTGGCTTAATTACTTGGGCTTTTACTCAGACTTCAAAGCTCCAAATTACTTGAATTCATTCCATAATATCTACATAGCTCGAAATCACTCCTACAAGGCATAAAACACATTTAGTGTAAAACACTAGCGAATAAAGCTTAAACTCAATTAAAGTGCAGTAAATTAGAGTGTAATAAGCGACTAAAATACACAATTATAGCCTATCATCAACACCCCACACTTAAACCATTATTCGTCTTCGAGTAATCAAACTACAATTTATATAGACACAACCTTTTTAAACAATTCTCCTAACTCATCACACCAAGAATATTTTAAAATAGACTAAGCACAAGAGTGTAAAATCTTCACCTCAAGATTTGACTCACAAGTACCACACATTATTCGCAACTCACCCACTTACTCTAACATAGAGGTCACTGACATTACTTTTCCTTCATGAATCAAGTGCCCTCACACAACAAAAGAGAGTAGTTCCACGCACAACACAAATTAAGAACAATTAGGAACTCAAGATAGAAAGAATTTACTCACTCTCAGAAATAACATTCATATGCCACAAAAGATGCACCACAGGCTTGCCCGTAGTGTACTACTCTACTAATCGAGCTCATTCAGTCTAGGATCAAGTAGGACTTTATTTGGTTGTAATGTAGGCTGAGGGACAGGTAGGATACATTTACATATAAGAGTGACTACACCTCCCTAAACACTTTAATACATACACTTTAATATTGAAAACTCCACACTTATTTCAAACCATAACTCCACCTTCATATCAATATATATTGACTCCCCACTTCTTTAAGCACAATTATATCAAGAGTCACCACTATCACATATTTTTCACAGCAATACAACTTTTTTTTTCTTTCTTTTCTTTTCAAGTGACTCTTACTTTTTTAAAACAGTGCACCTTTCTCCTTATTTCATTAGTTCCACTCAAAAGCCAAATCAACCACCCCACACTTTAACTTTTACAAAGTTCATAACAATTCAAGCGCTCATGAGAGGTGAAAAGGTTCAAATAGATGGTTAATTCAAATAAATGGGTAAGACTTATAATGTGGTTGCCAAAGAAACAGGATTACAGGCTCAAAGGGGTTAACTATGATACATAACAATTAGGCGGGTAAACTATAAATATGGCTCAACAAAGAAATGCCTATATCACTTCCAAGACTGAACAAAACTACTATTTCGCTTTGCAAACACACGGGGCAAGTTCTAGACATCAAATGCAATGCATAGAATAACATAAAAACCTCACACACAGATGGCACATAACTCACTCAGGATTGGACTCATCAAGACACTCTAGTCAAAGAAGTTTAAGCAAAGTTAAGATCATACAAATTAAGGTACTTATACAAGAATCAAAAACTGAGCCTAAGCGTCAACACCAAGGTACTCACTATTCTCAAGGCATGACAAAGTTAAAAGATATTACTTCAATTCACAACATAGCATAAGTTTTCCTAGTTCTAAGAAATAAAAACTAACTATACCCAGTTGAAGCAAAACCCTTGGAAAAGAACCGCGGCACAAAGAAAAACCAAGGGGGAATTACTACACTACCTACAAAAAAATCTTTTTGTCCTTTTTCTTTAGACTTAAATCCCTCAAGAAAACTGTCTAGGAGATCCATCGTCGGGAAAAGTCCATTTTTTCTCTTTTTTTCCGATTTTCATAGCTACTAAAATACTACACAACTACTAAAACAAAAATAAGAAGTTAACATTTTTCTATATCCTACTACTAATCATATAGAGAATTTTTTTACCTCACACTTAAAAGAGTGCAATGTCCCCAATGCACAAATAAAACAAAACAATAACAAGGGTGGACACGAAACTCCCTGAAAGGCCAAAGGCCGAAGCAATAACGGCTCACGGGGTACTCAGACTTTCCCCATACATGGTCCTTTTGTGTGGCACCCTACACTTAGTTCTCACCATCTAACTCGATTTTGCATTCTTCGAATGAATTTGCCTCCTATGTTTATAATCCTACAAAACAAAAACAACACTACAACAATAATAAGGAAAAAAATAAAAATAACAAAACAGCAAAGATGGGTTGCCTCCCAACAAGCGCCTGATTTAACGTCGCGTTACGACTTGAACAACTTTTTGTCTCCATCTCGAACTTATGAATTGCGCCCCCAATTTGACTTCAAGATTTTTGCTATGCTCTTGGGGTGGTGGGATAAATGTAATCGGGCCAAGCAACCATTTCGCATTCTACACTTCTTGGCCTTCCGATGAGGTATGTAATTCTTTCTCTCTAGCACAATAAATTCCAGAATGTAAACACCTTGTTCCTCGTCCGTTAGCTCCTCCAAAGGCTCAGATGACTCGATTTCTATGTCATTATCCAAACACAATGTTGAAAAATGCATGGAATGAGGACCAATATGTTCCAACTCTAGAACTGCATCACTAGTTACATCATCATATGTACACATACTAGAGTCTTCAAATATAACATTATCTACTTCCTCACAGGACTCTAGTGTGCTTTCCTCAACATGGACATCATCAATAAAAGTATGATCGAATAATTAACTCTCCACTTTTAGCTCCTCAATTTGGCGTATAAGCTCCTTTTCAGTTTCACACAACTAAAAACTATTTTGTTGGGCATTAGACGTATCAACCTTTGTAATCAATTGAGCTCCCAAGTCGTGAATAGCAGTGCCAAAATTTTTGATCTCTTGCCCCAGTTCAGCTCTTTCTTCTATTAAGTCTTTAATCCCATTTGTAATTTTCTCACATTGAGCCTCATATATTGCTAACTTTTCAGCTTGTTCTACCGACCAAGTTTGACTTATAATCTTCTTTTTTTCAAAATTTTCCTCTTGCTGGTGCTCTCTCTCTTCATTCAATTCTTCCATATTGGCCTTCATTATTATGATTGCTACCCTCATTCTTTTCATATCTTTTTTGAGTTCATCCT